GGATGAGGGGCGAAACGTTTCTTTTTAACAAAAAAAAACGAAGTCCAGATGACATGATTCAACCTTTTTTGTTGTTAACACACGTACATTACCATGGCAACAGGCCCAAGGATCACCCGCTTTGACATCAACCAAGAACTTGCATCAGGTGGCTCAAAGATCTGATATGAAACAGTTAATTGTCGCCATGGCAACCTACATAGATTAAAGACTTATCTGGCACTTTTGGCATTTCATTAAACTTTCCAGCTCAGCATCACAAAGTTTTCATTGAACTGAAGGCAGGTCTGTTCATTACAGCTGATTTATTTTAAAGAGTCCATGAATGCTGATGCTCCTGGTGTCCCCCCCCATGACCTGGTCACAGGCATAAACATACCAGTACATTTAGTCACTGAGAGTTATTGAGCTTTAAACTCTTTCTGGCTGCATTTTCACCAAATGACAGCTAAAACAACACATTTCCAAAGGTGGCACTTCAATCTTTAAACTTATTTTACTTGTTCCTGCAGCTTTCAATAAGAACCTAGAAAGTTTTAATTTGATATTCAGTAGATTTTCTGCAACATGACAGAGCTGTAATTTACAGGAGCTGCTCTGCTGCCATTCAGAAAACCTACTAGTTTTCTGTAATGCCCACGTGCAAGACAAGACATTATATACATATATATTTTACCACATCCAGGCCTCAAGTCTTAATCATGTTGCAGAGTCTTTGACCTGAACCTCCTGACAAACATCACGTGCTTGAAGTGCACGCGCTCTGGTTAGCAGCTGGCTAAAATATAAGCTAGCGTTAGCATTAGCAACTACACGACTTCTCACACGTGCACTGGGCAGTAGTCAGCCTGACTCCTTGTCCGTTTCATTTCCCCCTTTCCAACAATAAAACACAATCATCCTCCCAGTTCGCCCGGACAGTTTCGTGTCCGATCTTTACCGTGTTGTGCGCGCGGCCCGCAGGCCGGAAGAAGCCGACACACAGCGGCTCCGTGTCGGCTGTGAACCAGCTTCTGCGTTTATTACCCTCTGACCCGCAAAACATACCGATTTTAACCTCGTTGGGGTCGAATTTGGGCGGCATTTTGTTGCTGTGGAGGTTGAGCTCAGTTCAGCTTGGTTGGTGAGGGTGTCGGATGAACCCGGCTTCGGGACGACCGATAACTGATGCACCTTCACCGCTAAAGGAAAAGAAAGGACGAAACATGGCCGCGGAGGCATTTATAGGTCCACCAAATATCGCGAGATTTTCACACTGTCGCGATAAGACCAAGTGTGTGTGTCTGTGTGTGTGTGTGCATAAAGAGAACCTTGAGTTTTTTATTTTTAATTTTTTTAAATCTTTATTGAAAAAGTACAAAACAATACAATAAAAAGTAGTATACAGTATCCTGATGCATGCTCAATAATCCAGGTAGAAAAATCCAAAAAAGCTGGTCCTCTGGACATTCAAAAAAACAAAGCAAAAAATGTAGAAACGTTTCGTCTCTCATCCGAAAGACTTCCTCAGTCTGAGGTGCTGTATTCAGCTCAGACTATAGTAGTATACAGTAATGAAATAACAGCCGACAGGGGGTTACACACATCAGTGGTTAATTTGAGCCGGATCCTGCCGGAGCAAGATCCGAGAACTCTCTCATTTTGACCTGTTCTGTTCCGGCAACTCTTTGTTCGGATCCAGCAGCTCCACCCCTAAAAGTTCAAAGTCATCGCGCATTTTTATTTTGATTATTTATTAAAAAATACAACAAGAGGAGACGTTGCCTTTAGCCCGGTGGACCCAGTCTGTGGAGTGCATGTTCCAGCCGCAGCACGCGCGGCGAACCAGCTTCATGCTCCTTCGAGGAGCAGGAGAGGGGTCTCTAGACGGGGGGTGAGGATGGAGGGACACATGGTCTTACGCACAGATATTCTGCACGGAGTCCTTGTCTCCTCCTCCTCTCCAAATATTGTCCCTCCTCAGGGGCGCACTGAAAAACACCCCCTCTCCTCCTCTCAGCCCCCGAAACAGAAACGATCATTTATTCAACAGAATAAATAAATTCCCTGCGACAGTGCACACTACGCACAGAAACGTCTCCAGACACGCACACATCAGCAGGTGTCTGAACTCCTGCTACATTTCAGACATAATAAATAAAAAAAGCTTCCTGTAAAAAATAAATTAAAAATACAAAGAGAGAAATGTTTGATGTGCTATTCACATTATGTCACGTTTCAAAACAACGGTGATAATTTGTCAAAATAACAACAGAGATCAACATGTCAAAGACAGTCCAATTTACTTTAATAAAAAATGGATGGATGGATGGATGGATAGATGGATGGATGGATGGATGGATGGATGGATGGATGGATGGATGGATGGATGGATGGATAGATGGATGGATGGATGGATGGAT